AAGTCTAAGCAGGCAACAAGGAAGTGGAGTAGACCTGATGACTAAGACCTATCTACAGTATAGGTACCTGTGGATGATCCTAAGAGACCAAGTCTGGAGAGACAGTCCCCAGGCAGAGTAGGCCTTATATTTATACCTCTGTGGTGGAACCTGCTAGAACATCTTGCTTACTCAGCCTAGTCAGGTGATCAGGTCATATGACCAAGGATGAGGTCATATGAGGTCATGCACAGCCATGCACAGCAGGTCACCTGACCATCCAATCCTGCCAGCAGGTTCCAGCACATGCCAAGGTATACCAGCTACTTCCATGTCATAAAGGCTTAGTCATGTCTCTTGACCAAGCAATGAGCTGGTGCCCTGACAGCTTATGACAAGGAACTGTGTGTTGAGCATGATTACAATCTCTACTGGTTTGGGGAAGACAAAACCTTGCAAATCACAACTGGTGCTCCTCAGAAGAATTGGAATGGGAATCCGCTTGATCAATTCTGTCCCACCTGCCATCAGATCATGCAATGGAAGGGAGCTCAAAAAGGGAAGGAAGCTAAATGTGGTCAATGGTTCTGCTGCACAAGGAAGGACTGCAAGAAGGGGCAAGTTATGCTGAAATTCTGGAATGGACAGAATGGGGTTTGGGCAGCTTATCCAAACCCCCAGGATGAGAAATGGCATGTACTCGAAATTGAAGTTGACTTCAATGAAAAATGGCCCTGCCTTCAGCCTCAGCCTACTCATAACATCGGGTGGATTGCGGATGCCAAGGAGGTGGAGGAAGATGATGGGGATGCTTCATCACTTTCACCACCTCCTGAGTCCCCTGTTCAAGATACTGCTCAGATTGAGGAAGAGCCTTTGAAAGAGGATGAAGCACCATGCAGCCTATTGCCAGCAAACCCCAGGGAGACCAAATACGACCCTGATTGAGTAACACCAGATGCTGATGCCATGGTGGTCGACCTGGTGACTGTGGACTTGAGGCAGCCAGGAGGGTCTAGCAGTGCTAAACACTCAAGCACTGCTACCCAAAAGAATCCTGCAGGAGGTCCAGGGAAGGGGAAGGGAAGACCAGTTCAAAGAAAGGGAAGGGGCAGTTGGAAGGACCAGGACAATGTGAGGGGGTGAAGAGATTGCCCAGAGCAAAATTGATGGGACCAGGATTGAAGGCATATCTCCATAGCAAGAAGACTGCCAGTGTGGAGAAGTAGGGAACTAGATCTTTTTTTTTTGGATGCCTTGAATTGATATGCTTATGTTGTTGCCCATGCATTTATGGAAAGATAGGATTAGAATGGAGAAATATTGAAGAAGATGTAAATGTTTGCAGATGAGAAGGTCAAAAAATGTGCTACCATGTAAATACAGTAGATATTGTAAAAAGGCAGTTCAAAAAGTTGATATTATCTCTAAGTGGATTATATATTATGTCAAGGAAAACCTTTGTTGGAGTTCTGGTTCCTAAGCGACAGATAACAAGCACACAGATGCAAAAAAAAAAATTATAGCAGAGCTTAAACTGGATTAAAATAAAATAATAATTGGGAGGCTGGGTCTTGCTGGAAGGATGGGTCTGAGAGCGATCTAGGGTCCTGTCCTTTCCCGCCGTCCGTATTCCAGGCCCTGGTCTTCCCTCAGGGGAAGCCGCTCGGCAGTGGTCGGCGCCGAGCGGATCTAATCACTTCGGCCCCTATCCATATCGGGCGATGGAAACAGATAAGAAGCCCGCATTGATCGCAACCCGTCTTTCCTTCACCCCTCCCATTCCCTCCCCCATTGGTACGCTCTGTTGTGCCGCTGTCCTCTAAGCTTGAATATATGCGCTTCAACTTGGTTATTAGATAACAGTGACAACAAATCTTGCTTAAATTCCCCAGTACTCGAAACCCGCTAACATGGACTTTGACAATGACATGGAACTTGCAGCCGACATGCAACAAGACAGTGACGACGACTTCGACGAAATCTTTCGCACCCCGCCGACCCATCCACCAATTGGTACGCATATCACTGCTGCACTTTTTCACGTCTCTCATGCTATCCTAGCGTCTCCTCCTCGACACCCACCGCACCACCGCCTTCTGCTCCATCCACGCTACAAGCAAACATTTCTCCCGCTGCGAATATTCCTCCGGATTCCCAGGCGACTTTATCCAGTCCTCGGGCACCTCAAATTTCTCAAGAAACAACTTGTCTATCCTCATCTCCTGCTTTGCCCTTTATCAGCCAGACCTCGACTCAGTCTGACAATTCTGTTGCGGACGCGATTGCTTTGCGCTTGCAACCGCTCTTATCTGGTATTGAAATGGCTTTGAAGGGCATAGCTGGTATTATGTCTCCAGGTCTCATGATGTCTAAACGCCAAAAACAGCTTCCACGTGCCCCCCCTGGGTTTTCTTGCATACAATCAAACTCCCTCCGTACTCTCGAACCAGCCTCTCTTGCCCTTGATCTCCCCTCTCTGACGACGTGTCTCCTGCCTCCTCACGTGCTGCATATCTTGGCCATGCGATTAACTCTGGGCATCTGCTCGGACCTGACATCAATTTACATAATGACGGACGAACCTCTGCAACCGAGCCTGCCAGTGTTCTCCAACTTCCCAACGTCAATTCTAATCTTCCTGACAACCGACCCCAGTTGGGTATTGCGGTAGTGCCCAACCCTACTCATAGCACGCTGGCTTCTCCAAATCCCTCTGCCATTCTGCCTTCCCCGGTACATGAATTGAATCCACTCGCCGAACAACTTGGCAATGTGTACGGCTCCAGAGATGCGTATGGACGAGCTACTACGGTCAACTCGCAAACCACAGCTGCGGAAACCGCCCGTGGTGGCCTTATGTGTTTGCTCCAGCCTCGAGAACTGCTGCCTCAACAATCTTTTGCACCCACTGCAGCACTGTCTGTCATGGAGAACCACCCTGCACCATTGCTTGGCATGCGGAGCCATGCGCCCGCCGCAGTGCGAGATATACTCAGTCCCACCTCAGGCGCGTCCTTTGACACGGCTCCTGAGAATACAGTTGTCCATGCATCGTCTCCCCCCCGTGACGTGACCCGCATCGACTCGAGTCTTCTCGGGAAACGTTTGATTGACCACGACACTGGAGTTGAACCACCCTCGAAGCGTCCCAGGCTTGTCGACGAGGCGGATCCCACGTCTAGTCCTGTGTCTAGCGCTGGGACTACTGTAGTCGGATCTCCTATTGCTAACCAGGGGACGCTGAGCTCAGTGGCAGAAAGTGCCTTTCTCCCGGTCAGCATGCTGCACAAGTCAACGGTTCTACCCTCTGTGGATCCTTTGACACCGGTTCCTGCCTCTGCCCTGCTTGCCCTGCAACTCGCTGGTCTTCCGTTCTACGTGGCATACGAAATGTTCCGAGTGGCAAATACTGGCATCGCCGTGGAGGAGATGGTGTCGAATCCAAGGAAACTGGAGGCTCTCCGAAAGGCCTGCGAGGAGATCGGGCCCGACAAAAAAAATGACACGCTCGGCAAAATCAGCAACATCATCTTATCGTTTCTTCCTGGTGACAAGCGTCACACGTTTCTGATGAAGACGAAAGTCTGGCAGGCACTGATAGACGAAGCATCCCTTCGAGACAAGGGAGACGGGCGAGAGCTGGGCAACGCTAAAAACTTCAAAGACAACCGCTATGGTGGTAAGGTTCGTTTTCGTGCGACTTTATCCATAGACACGAACGATACAACAAACGCAAGATCCAAGAAACGACCGCGTTTGACGGTGGAGCTCAAGGCGCCTTCTGTGGCAGTTTCGAACTCGAATCGGCTCACCAGGCTGTACAGCTCCGAAGCCTTCTTATGTCTCAAAATAGATGATCCCGCTCTCAGAGGTGTCGAACCCTCATACCTTTTGGATTATCTGCATGAAGGCATCCAGCTCGGAAATGATCTGTATCACGCTTGGTTTATCAAGGAAGGAACGGCGCTGTTCATCAACACATCGATACGGAAGAATCTCCCAGATACCCGCAACCTTGATTGCGACGAATTCTTCATCTGGTTTATGGAGCAGCACAACCCTCCGAACTTAAACCAGAAACAGACAAGCGGGAAATGGGCGAAACGAATGCAGCTCCTGTGGAGTTCATCTGTTCCCGGCCCCCGACTTGAGGCGGAAAATATTAAGATGGTAGACGATATTAGTGGGTTCATTAGTTCCCCGGCATAGCGAGAGATACTCACTCTGCTCCAGTCGCTCCCAGCTTCCGTCACTTACCGAAAGCACCGGCCGAACGCGATATGACCGACGGCGCTGGGCTCATGACGTATGCGGTCGCGCGAGACATACAGGCTAGATTGGGTCTGCGGCACCCACCGTGCGCTGTACAGTATCGCACAGGCGGCTTGAAGGGGATGTGGGTGTTGCGGGCTTTGACGTCTGACGATGATGGGCATCGCTTCGTATGGTATCGCCCGTCACAACTCAAGATCAGACATAGTGAAAGTCAGCTAGAGAAAAATGCACTTCGAACAATCGAAGTGCTTTCTCCCTCAAAATTATCCGCGCCGGCCCGGCTTACCACACAACTCGTCGTTCTTTTGGCAGAGAATGGCGTTCCCAACAAGCTTTTGGTCGACCTCATGGTCAAGGCGCTCAAATCATCCCTCCTTCCTTTTTTCGATAAGAAGTCGAAACCTGTACATATGGCCTTCGCACTGGAGGAGTTTTGTAACCTTATGGTTCAGCGTCTTTCGCGCGCAGGGAGTCTCCTCCGGGGTGGATCGGTAAGAGAGCTGGCCCAAGAAGAAGAGGAGGAGGAGGAAGAAGACTTTGAGGACCATCCTGGGTCGTACGAGGAGTTGGCCTATCTATGTTTCCTCTCAGGATTCACTCTTGGCGGCTCCGTCTATCTGCGGAGAAAAGTTCGGGACATTCTGAAGAAACTCATTCAGGCAACCACCGCGGACATCCGATTCCGCATTGAGCGATGCGTCGACGGGAAGATAGTTCCAGGTCACGGCTTGCACAGGTGGTTCGTATTTTTGACTTACCACGTCCTCAGATCCCACAGGGAAGCTGAAGCCAGGCGAGATCTTTGTCCAATTCCGAAGGGAGTACGACGTCACGGATACTGAATCGATGAAAATCCTCACCGGAGACGTACTGGTACGTGCCCTCATCTTGTTCCGCTGTTCTCCGTTGATGTGATCATCAGATTACCCGTCATCCTTGTAAACTTCCCACTGATATTCAGAAGATAAGCAGCTGTTGTACCAAGAAAAAAAGTTTTATGCTGAAGGCATCGTTATCAAGATGAAAGCAGTTGATATAGATGAAGTATGTTATCCATGGCTTCGTCCCATCCGTTCGTCAGCTAACTGTCGTCTTAATGCGTTAGCTACACTATATGTACGATGTCATCGTTATGTCGACTGAAGGCGAACGGTCTCCAGCTAGCATGTTGGGTGGTGGGGGTGAGCAGATTCTATTCTCCGAACGGTAGAAAACTCCTGACACCAGGTTTATTGCAGACTACGATGGAGATCGTGCCACTGTCATCTGGGAACCCCAGATCGTCGAGCCTTTCAAAACCGCAGACCCCAAGTTTGCCGATCAACCTGAGAACTTCGATCGGTTTTTGGACAGGGACACAACGACTGTAGCCTCTTTGCTCCAAAAGATGCACGGCTGGAATGCCTCAGCGATACGGTCCGAAATCCAGAAATATTTGCTCTGCGATCTACACAGTGACTTTCAAATGCAAGGATGTGAGTGCATGTCCGTCCAATTTCGAGATCTTTGTGACTGAAGGATGGTCAGACAGCCATAGGCACGACGTCGTACTGTATCTGCTGGGAGCTAGTCATCCTAAGGCAGTGGAATTTGCACACAAGTGCGCAACATGGTTAAACAATTGGACAATGAACTGATGTTTATGCAGATACATGGTTTCGTTGGATTCAGCGAAGACGGGAGTGAAAGTCAAAGCGGATGTGTATGCCGAAGATCGCGAGTACGATCGTGAGCATCCTTGGAAACCCCGGGAAGAGAAATCGGGGCAGAAGTTTGCTTTGGGTCCAAGACCGAAGGAATTGGGTACATTTGTCCTGGACGACTTCAAGCAGGAGGCACGTCGTCTTGAAGAAAGGCTTCTGGTCAAATATGAAAGCCTCTACAGTCCGAAGGGGCCGAATGGTGTTGAAGTGCTTCGAGATTACCCACCAGACAAAGACCTTTGTGCTCCCTGGCGTGAGCTAGAAATGCGGGAGGGCCAAGGCGTCGATGGTGTTCGCCGCGCTATCGTAACTCACGTCAAGGAGGCATTCCTTAAGTATAAGGCAATGAACCAAGAATATGCGAAAGCCATGGATTCGGGCAAGCATTTGACACGAACGCGTACGGAGAGAATTCAGGAGCTCCGCGACTTCTACCGACATGGACCGGCCGAGAATATTTGGCGGCCTGTCATGACTCAAGAAGAATGCGATATCTACAAGGCATCGTATTGCTACCTATGGGAGATGGAGCAAAACAGCAATGAAAGGGGCGAATTCCCGTTCGAGGTTGCACATTATACGCTGTGTTCCATTAAAGCTCGTGCCAGCAACTCCGGAGCGGTTGCTATCACAAGCGGCGCTTGTAAAATATTCTACGAATTGACAGGCGTCTGTTGAAAACAACTTCAATTACTGGTCAGTCACCAATCACTAATCCAATAGGTGACCCAGACCCACTGACGTACTTGTAGTGGAATATGATGACGACTGAGGCGTCAGACCGGCACTTGGGGCGTGCTGGACGAGAGAGAACATGTGAACCTCGTGGATAGAACGATGCACATCATTGTGAGCAATAATGCTGAAACGGAGTCAACAGCGCATGGACACATGTATCATTATCACCGGTGTACAAATATAGAGCAACCCAAAAAAGCGGCATCACATACGTCTACAATCTGTCAGGAATCGTGTCCCGGGCCAAATCCAGCATCGAGAATCAGTCCTTGTCTTCCTAGCCTGATCATGGCATTCAAACAGTCTCCAATGTTGTCATATTCTCGCCAGGAAGGATTTTCACCAGATCGTGAGCTCTGTGCCTCATCAAGTGACTGTAACGCCCGCAGCCGGAGCGCGAGCCAATGAAGCGTCTTGACTCGCCGAACGAATTCTTTGACATCCTCCTCTTCACCATACACGTAGATAATGCCGGGCCATCCGAGCTTCGCGTAGCCGTTAACACTCAGCTCTGATGACCATACATGCAACGCTCGACGTTTGGAGGACGATCTGAGGTGGTGGGAAGTGAAGAGGGCGTGGTAGGGGCGTTTTTGCGCTTTGATAGCCCCAGGCGGCTCAGAAGAGGAAAGCTGAGACGACACGATCGTTGCTTGTGTTTGGAGCAGAGGCAATAGACGGGGGGATACTAACTCGTACATAGGGTACCTGGGTAGCATCAGAACCTCTTGTTTTACGGAATCCTGAACGGGACGCACTGCGTACCGGGTTCCATGGCATCCTGCGCTTCTCAGATCCTCGACTTCCAAACCTCTCCTTCCTCTCTCCCAATATCCCCCGATGGTATAACTTCAAAATCCTTCAAATTAGGATATCTTACGCATGGTGATACTCGTAATGCGACATGCAACTTCTTCACAGAGACTACGAATTCGGGTGGTTGGATGTCGTCCTCGTTGAGGGCGGGTGATGATCCGGTCGCGTGCGCGTCGAGCAATGCGTCCCAGTCCAACTGATCGGATGGATCGCCGTCGAATATCAGCGTCTCGTTAGGCAACAACGACGACCGGATAATTAGAAGCTCGTCAAGAAGAGTAAGCAGGGTAGATGAGGCGATCTGTCGAGAAGATGTGGACGACATGCAGAGGAGGAACTTGCGAAAGACTGCTGACCGAGAATCCCACCACCTCTAAATACCGATTATTGTACGTCCGCATCGGCACCTCAACAACGAATCCGACTCCTCTCCAGTCCCATTGATCCCAAGAACTGGTTCTATCTTTCCCCAGCATCTTTCACTTTGCTTACGAGGATTCGCGACATAACCGTTCTACTGGCTACGTGCACCAGCTCTGGGTGCATTGTGCTGGAACCGCCGATGATCATTGCATACGTCTGCCGGAGCTGCTCGAGGAGGTTTCGCGCCCATCCTTGACTTTGGATATGCTACTTATAGTGAGAAAGATGACGATCACGTTATTGTGATGATGATCGGACTCTGTGTTCCTGGTGTCACTCTTTGATCTCCCGCATATGAAACACGTCTGAAAAGCATATTGAGCAACATCGGACGGACTGTGACATATGAAACATATACTCGGAACCTCGGGCATCCAGCCTGCTCGGTTCTTACAGAAGAACTCGCCCTTTGGCGACAGCGCTTCTGGCTCGTCAAGAGTACCCCAGAAAACGTAGCGGTGCTTTTCGGCTACTGGCTCCTTCAAAGCTGCTTCAGAGCATCGCACTTCTAGACCTGTCGGTACACTCACCCCATACTCAAGAATGGGTCCTCCGCAAGTGCCGCAGAATTCCCGGTGAATATTCGTTCCACTCCCATTGTCCATGATATGCGGTGTTGGTGTTCCTTTAGTAAGCGTGAACGCCTCTTTGGGGATCTTAGTCGTAATTCCTGATTCTCCTCCCGTAAACTTCTTGAAGAGATTGTTAAACTTCTGATATGTGAGTAAGATAGGCGGCATATGTACTCTGCAATTCTTGCAATGACAAATGCTCGTGCGTGCCTCGTCCAGTGAGTTCAGCGAGAACTCATACCTGATCTGTCCACAATAACAACCTCCTTTATATGTCGGCATTACGATCTTATTTCAGTGTAAATGTTGACAAACTGTAGATGTTCATGTTGTTCAAAAAGGTCGTGTACATGAGTGGGACACACATGACCTCAAAATGTATTGGGTCACGTGAGGGCCTAGACTACGGAGACGCGCCTGAGTCATTTATATAGATCCGCCGGTCTCTGTCCGACAACCAGTCAGCCGAACATTGCTATTATCTTAACTTTTCTGTTTTGACTACAATAATTCTCCCTGTGTGCTTTGTCTGTCATTTGATACTCCTGTTCCGCAAGTAATTCTGGCGTGACGTGAATGCTGGACAGTTGCCGATCGCGCGATGTTACACGAAGATGACGGCAAGTCACGGGGCGGTGCGCCCTCACCACCGAAGCTTTGCAAGCATCCAGTGTCTTTCTCGGGTTATGACCGAACGATATTACTTGATGGGACAAGTGCATACCACCGAGGGTATTAGCTGGTCCGAGCGAGTCTGTCCGTGCATGCCCTTCTCAATCTATATGCTGTCGAGCACGCCATATCAACCTCACCTTCTACAACTGCTGTCCACCTTTCATGCTCCGTCCCACTTTGCGATTTGTAATACTCTAGCTGACTGATTGCGGACTGAGTCCTATAAAGAGTCGAACAAGACAACTCGCCAGCTCTTCCCCATCCAAGTTCAACCTTACTACGTCTTCTAGCCTAAAGCAGACACGATGCCCGTCGCCACGTCCCAGTTCGTTAACGCCGAGTTGCACTTCCTCTCCCCCACTCTGAAGGAGAAGCCTTACACCACCTCGACCTCTGGGGACACGAACGTGGTTGTGGAGGACCACGACGTGCTGATCACTGATCTGCGCTCCCTGTCCGAGAGTGAGCTCGCAGGCTTCAAGACCGACACGAGTGGTTTCCAATGGGTGAAGGATCAGAGTGGTCTCAAAGGCGACGACTTCTTCGATGAGGAGAAAATTAAGAACGAGTACTACCCAGAGATTGATTCGTGAGCTGCCTCCCTCCGTTTCCAGATAACTTGTTGATCCATCCAAGGTTCTTGAAGAAGACTCTCGGCGCCCGCCGGACTTTCATCTTCGACCACACCGTGCGCCGCGGCCCTGAGCCTGGAGAGAAGGTCGAATTCGGACGTGATCCGTCTCGTCGTGGTCCCGTCACTCGCGCACATGTCGACCAGTCTCCCAAAGCGGGTGCCGAACGTGTTTTGCTCCACCTGGGGGAGGACGCTGAGAGACTTAGTAAGGGACGCGCGCAGATCGTCAATGTCTGGCGTCCGATTCGTGGGCCGGTGAGAATATGAGTTCCTCTCTCACATTGGGTTGGTGTTGACCTTTTGCACAGGTCCAAGACTACCCGCTCACCGTCGCCGATTATCGGTCGATCAACAGCGAGACTGATCTCCAGTGAGTGCGCTAGAGATGTAGTAAAACCCACACTCATGGTACTTCGCAGACCGACGGACCTCATCTATCCCAATCGACGGGGCGAAACCCTCTCCGTTCGCTTCGGCGGCCACCAGAAGTGGTACTACATCTCCGACCAGCAGCCAGATGATGTCCTTCTCCTGAAGTGCTACGAGTCTGAGGTGAAGGAAGGTCGCGCGCTGCTTACACCGCATTCGGCATTCCAGAACCCGAATGCGATTGGGAAGGATGTCCTGCCTAGGCAGAGCATTGAGGTTCGCGTCCTTGTCTTCTATACCGAGTAAAGGGATGTGTCCACACCCTGGGGCCGTCTTTCGTACCATTGTTTGTCCTTGTATCGTTGGAATATGATCGTTTATGTGCTGAATTATGGGAAACCGTCCGCTGTGGAAATATTACTCAACCAAGAGATTGTTAGATTTGCAATTAAGGCGTGATGTCTGATTGGCTGGCCAGAAACGGGCCGCCCGCGTTCCGTCTGGGTGACGGCACCGGGTTGTACCCTTAACCGTTCGGGCCATGTCACCGCGATAACGACACTCACACGATAGCTCGGATTGTCATTCCAGCTGGGGAAATCCAACGGTGCCAAGAGATGATGCAATGGACGATGATGGTTAAGCCACCTTGAGCTTACAAAGTTCGACACCTTCAAAAGGCATCGTTGCTGGCGAAATACACATCCGTCCTTCACTCTTTCCCTCTATATCATTTGAACCGCATACTAGACTGTTACACAACGCTATAGACATGGGTGACGCTACTGTCCGTAAGCTATTTAAAAACGACGCTGTCATTGGTGCGACGCAGTACTATCCGTCGAATGAACCACTCATAGGAGCTGCATATCCCTCGGTGCGCAGGCTGGCTTACCTTAATAATCAAAAACTAACAGCATCAAAGTCCGTATATTCGAGAAACGCTACTCTCCCGGTTCTGTTCCAACCCCTGAAGATCCGTTCAGTCGAGTTCAAGAACCGCATATGGGTTTCGCCCATGTGTCAGTACTCCAGTGACAACGGGCATGCAACAGACTGGCATCTGGTCCATCTTGGTGTATGTCCCGGCTCTGCTACTCTGACTGTTACGTGTCTAACGAGCGAGCAGGGCTTTGCTACCCGCGGAGCTGGAGCCATCATCGTGGAAGCTACTGGTGTCGTGCCGGAGGGACGCATCTCACCCGAGGACGCCGGTCTCTGGCAGGATAGCCAGATCGCACCTCTGAAGCGCATCGTCGACTTTGTCCACGCACAGGGAGGGCTGATTGGTGTTCAGCTCGCCCATGCCGGAAGAAAAGCGAGCACCTATGCGCCTTGGGTTCAGAATAGACGGAACGCAGACAAGAGTGTGCCTAGGAACGATGTTGCTGGCGTGGAGGAGAATGGCTGGCCGGACTACGGCACGCGCATGAGGAGCAGGACGAACGATTACTGACAGCGTTATAGTTGTTGGACCGTCCGACATCCCGTTCAATGATGTTTATCCCAAGCCGAAGCCATTGACGAAGGAAGGCATCGAGAATGTGGTGAACGCGTTCGCTGCCGCGACCGAGCGTTGCAAGAAGGTTGGCTGTACGTGACTCTTTACCCTGTTTGGTGCTCGTCTGATAATACCAGTTGACTTCATCGAGGTCCACGGCGCCCACGGGTATCTGATCTCCTCCTTTGTGTCACCCCTCTCCAACAAGCGTACCGACGAGTACGGCGGCTCGCTCGAGAATCGCATACGTCTTGCCGTCGAAGTCGCAAAGAGAATACGCTCTGTCTGGGGCGAGGAGAAGCCGCTTTTCTGGCGTCTGAGCGCCGTCGACTGGGCCGAGGGTCCGGAAAAGGACGAAGCGACCGACGAATGGAAGCAATGGGGTATTGAGCAGAGTACAGTGCTGGCTGGAGAGCTGCAGAAGGTTGGCGTAGACTTGATCGACGTCAGCTCTGGCGGCAACTGGAACGCTCAAAAAATCACGATTGGGCCCGGATACCAGGTGCCATTTGCGGAGCACATCAAGCAGGCAATTCCAAGCCTGCTCATCGGTACAGTTGGCCTGATTACGGACCCACAGCAAGCGGAAGGGTACCTAAAGGATGGGAAGGCCGATACTATTATTCTGGCAAGAGAGCTTCTGAGGCACGTCGACTGGCCTTTGTACGCCGCCCAAACCCTTGGGGTAGCCGTCAAGCCGGCTGATCAGTACGAGCGTGCCTGGTCGAGGTTGTTGCATGATTAGATGTGAAGTAGGAGATTTAGTGACCTTAGAATCATTCAAAGTAGCGTGTTGAACAATGAGCCGCGTCGACGTTGGCAACAAAGTGATGATGGCGGTACATAACAATCACGTGCCGCAGCGTCTACGTAAGGGTCGCGTCGTCAGGCATTCGCGCCAAATCAACGGTTCAACGGCGACTCACTAACTTCTCCTCGCATCCAGGACACAACTTGTCAAGACTCGAAATCGACCGCAACAATGGGTGGGGGAGACGACGATGTCCCGGAGTGCGTGTATCTAGGTTTTGTGCGCATGTATGGCAAAGAACTGACGGTATATGCAGATTCGACCCTGTCTCGGCCCATCCCGCCGACGAATGGCGCAACATGTACATTGACAAACACAACTTACTGGAAGAAACTATGGAGGAACTGGCTGATTTTCGTCTGACTAGTCAAGAGATTGAACAGGAGATGGAGAAGGAGTTGAAGGAGAAGGAGAAGGCTGTGACGGATCTGAAAGTGCGAACAGGCAAGATCGAAATCGAGCGGGACGACTGGAAGGTAACCCTGCAAGATGTTGTTAAGAATGTTCCTCTGCTAACTGAAGCCCTATAGAACAAATTTATGAAACTTCAAGCTACTTTTAATACAACCACGAACTCCTTGCAGCGCGAACTGGACTCGCTGCGCAAGATGACGACTGAATACAAGACCCAAGTCCGCGAATTGGAAATGGGAAACGACGACCTTGAACGGAATGAACGATATGCAAAGAGTAGCTTGACGGAGATGGAGGAGAAATTCAACCGGGTCACAGAGGAGAAGATCATTCTGGAGCACGAGTTGATGTCGAAAGCGGCACAGGAAGAGGAGCTGCAGAGGTTGAGGGATGAACTGCGAGGCACGTCCCAATCATCAATTAATGCGAAGCTGCCCTCACACTCCAGACAGATGTCAATCTTGAAGTGGCCGTCCTCAAAGACCGGGAGGAAGAACTGCGCAGGCAACTCGAAACACAGTCATCTCTCGGACCCTCGCCCGCTACCTCACCCTCCCTGCAGGGCGAGAAGGAGGAGTCTCTTTTGCACTTGGATGACCTCACCGTCCAGCAGAAGAGGATGTCTGCTATGCCTCAATCGCCGGCTGTATCAAGCACTGCTTCATCTCCTGCGCCAACACCACCCCCCAAGCCCTATCCTCCACTGGCGAATGCGAAGATGTTGCGCAGTTCGCCCATGTCCAATTCACCATCTCGTATCCCAGCTCCGCGCAAGTCCATGCTCGCAGAATCGACAGCCTCAGCAGGTACCGTTTTGCCACGTACTCGGTCTGCGGCTACCCAGATGATGGGAGAGATGCGCGCCCGTGTCAAATTGCTGGAGAATCGGTTAAATGCACGCCGCGCAGTATCCAACGCATTTTCTCGCAAGAAGGAGCCTGTTGTCCCAGAGGTAGAGGGTAGCCCTGGCTGGGTCGTTCTCTCTGACACCAGTAGCGCCGCCGATTCGTCTTCCTCGTTTGTGAAAATTGCACCGCCGCCTCCTGCTCCTACTCGGCCTTTATCAAGCGCGTCACGATCGTCCACAGAATATGGTCGAGGATCGTTTGATCGCCGTCGATCGATTGACGTTAAGAGTCCGCCCACATCGTATATTTCGAGGATACCCGAGGATGTTGAGCGGCCACGGCCTTCGTCACAATCGAGCGCACCTTGGCGAACGTCGTCGCGACCCGCAAGCCAACTCGGTGATTCGACAGCCACTATTCGGGCGTCTGAGACACAAAGATTCCCTTTGCGACCACCTACCCCTTCGTTTATACCCAAACCGAATGCGGAACAGGCCGATGCCTCGTTCGATCCCAAGGCGTCTCTAGGTGGCATTAAAGCAACTATCGGTCGCTCTCAATCTGTACGCCGCGCTATCTCCACCGCATCCGGCCCGTCCCGAACGAGTTCCAAGGCAAGCGCATCTCGGCCAGTCAGCATCTCTAGTGTTCCGGCAGCACCTTCAATTCCAAAGGGTCTGGAACGCAGCATGGGAATGATGGACATATCCTCCATTCCCAGTCCAAGTTCCATTTCCAGCTCAGCCAGCCGTATCGGCCGACCCTCTAGTTCTGCAGTCGGCAACGTGCGTCGCCCTGCAAGTCAACAAGCCGCTACACGATCTCAGACGCCACTGGGCTACGGCAGCTACGGCAGCTACGACCGCGATGACGAGCAAGAGCTCGGAGTCGGAAGTGTGAAAGAGCCGCTTCCCGGTATTGGGCTTGGAAGGGCCAAAGCGAAGGCAAGAATACCCAGTGGAAACCGGACTTGAATACCCTCCAGCGTCATCAGAGTCATACCCCTATACACTCCTTATAGATACGACCCATGTTTCTGCCCTCTGTTGTACTCTAAAACTAGGAAATAAATTAGCTGTCATTACGATTTCCCACGCCTATCTTTGTTGCTTCCTTGTTCTAGCGTCTGTATTTTTCTGCGAAGAATACGATATAGACGTCACTGTAGTTAAGGGTCTCAATGGGCGGTTTGCATGTAGGCCAGACCTGTTGGTCCCGTGACGGGGGCGAATCGAGAGACAGTGTGCTGCTGGTGGAGTCCAGGGGATCTTAAACATGGCTTGACCACCTCCAGCCTCCGCCAAAACAACACCCGACACTAGTAAGCCTCATACAATTTTTCTCTGTCGTACAAATTTAAACTTGCAGGAAACAAGAGCAAAGAATTCTGGATTGTTGAGAATGCGGGAAATACCCGGGCGCGGCTGTACGTTGTGAGAAGCCGCAGAAGCCGGATCAGGGATACCAATTCACTTGTCCTGCCGTAATGGCCATATCTTGCGGGTCCCCAGCATCTGACGCTGACCTATTGCATGTCGACTGGTCACCAACGATGCAGCATGACTGAATTACTAGGGACCGTCTTACGTTCCTTGCGCACACGGTCCGCAATGCTTCGGGAACCGACGACCTCTGGTACGACAGCGCAGGCATGTCGAGCCATTCCGGTGAGACAAGCCACCCGACTAGTCTCGCATAACGAGCCAGTCTGCTGATACGGCGAGATCGCACCTGGACTGACCCTGCCAGGTTTCTGATCACCTGTGATGTCACCGATTCAGCACAGCGACGCACGCCCCTCTATTTTCCCGCCGTACGCACGCATCATGGCTGGGAAAACTTGACAGCTACCAGAAGGCCAGCAAGACAAATAACATGCGAGGCCAAGCACGAAATTTCGTCTTCCTCCCCTTCTCTCTTGCACCCACTCTTCCCTCTCAAGATGCCTTTTGTCGACCTTCCCCACGAAAATGTACGGATGTTCTATCGCACGAACTTACCGGGTGGTGAATTTGGTGGTGCGGTCACACCCACCACCCTCGTCAAGGATCGGCAAATCCTTCTCCTATTACCAGGCACGATGATAGACAGTGGCGACATGGTAGAAATATTCAAATCGCCCCTTTCCAAGATATTCACTCTCATCGCCTTGGATCCACGAAGTGTTGGTCAGACGAAAAACATACCTATGCTCACCAGAGACTCGTGGACCGATGCTGTGGACTTTATCAAGGCGATGGATGCGCTTGGCATCAAAGAGTTCCATGTATTCGCAGTGAGCGGTTCTTCCATCCCGGCAGCGAAGCGTATGGGTATGATGTGGCCGGAGAAGGTCAAGAGCCTCGTCTTCGCGGCAGCATCTAGCCCCGACCCGTTCGTATTCTTATCCCCCGTGACGCGTCAATATACTCACATTCCCTGTGATACAGCCCTGAATGGATCCAGGAATCATGGAAAGAACTATTGGACACATATTTGCATGCAACAAATATCGAGACAATGGAGGAGTGCATCAACGACTATTATCCTCTGGCTTATGGCGAAGTATGTGAATCACGTCAGCATCAACTATAGTGTGCTCAACCCGTGTTTTCAGTACCTTTCCGAATCTAGGGTTGATGACGTTGTCCGATACTGGGAAACGCAATATTATCCTGCCAACGGAGCACGATTCTACGATTGGGCCATTCCGTTTTTACTGGTGATTCTTTCCAAGCACGGGCCACGGCAGTTCTGACATTGGAATATTAGTGGCAACGCCTGGGCCCAGAATTTCTTGAGCTTATAAACCAGCCTGTTCTGATTTTGAACGTTCGTCCTTCTTCCATGAGCATGACGCCTCAAAGCTGACCATTCCACAGGGCGATTCCACTCTCGTTTCGTCCCCAGAGGAGGCTGAACTCCTTCGATCTGGTCTTGTTAACGCCGCCGGTGGTGCAAAGCTTGTTATTGTCGAGGAAGCACCGGACCAATTCCACTTCATCCCACAATTTGCCGCCATCCTTATCAAGGAGATGATGAGTTTCTACTGTACTTTGCCCAAGTTTCAGGTCCGGAGCTTCACCAATAAAGAAAGGGATCATCTGAAGAGAGCTCTGTTCGAAATCGCCGACTTGCGTAATGATCCCGCGATGAAAAGACGCGATCCGCACCAAGCAGCATCATTCTCATGTGTCTCTGCTGAAGTTATCGAGACGCGCAAGAGAGCGTATCAAGGTATCGCTCAGAAGGATGGCAAAGCATTCTCGCCTTTCGGACCCAAGGGGGAGCTTCCTCGCAAGTATGTTATCAGCGTATATGCATCGCCCCATCTAATCAGTTCACAGGTTCTCGGAACGTCACCTGGGCGACATCGCGGAGGCGGCCCAACGTAGCCGTGCTCGCTCAGATTCTGGTCTTTGGGCGGGTGGCGTCGAGCAGGAGGAGGTGGAGAGCGACGAGGAATCGGATTCGCGCACGGCAACTGAAGGCCTTGGGAAGAAGCTTGCGAAGTTCCTCCGTATTGGCCGATCCCCCCGACCTCAAGCATAGCATATATAGGTGTCCCTCCATTGGTATCTCTTTCGCCATACACGGCTTCTACACATCTTATACCGCATTTATGACTTCTTCTTTGTAAGGATGTTGCATCTGAACGATAGTATTTTAATTTGAGACTAAGTACGCACGTTGCATAGAGTTTTGTCCGAGCCCGGTGCTGAATTGGCCGGAATCCCGTGACGCGTGAAACGTGCTCTTCGTTGACTCACCAAACGTCCACGCGCGCCTTGGTCCTCTCTCTCTCTACTTCTTCCTTAACACCCGCCGCCAAGTATTTGCAGCCTATCAACACATCATGGTACATTTTAACAAACAACTCGGCTCCTAAGCCCACAGAACTTCCTAGGCCCGCGGTCTTTCAGCTGACGACAAGCGCTCAAAGCTACTGGAGATATTTCATGAGACGGTACGGCTTCCAAGTGTCCTGGGCTCAAACTCATCTGAACTTCATGCTACGTTGATCAGAAGGACTTCTACCAGGTAGGATGTACTGTCCTTCACGCAAGATGGGGTTTGGCTGACTTACGAGCGCATATATCCAGCTGAAAGAACTGGAGAAGGTGCGCATATGCAGTCCCCATGATTGCCTGTTGTCTGCTCACAGATCACGTCTGAAGCTGGGACCAAAGATGAAGGGAATAGGCGAGAACAATCTTTTTTTTCGCAGGAGCGCCAAGCTGACTCGGAGCAGTGTCACAATCTGTCAAGGAGGTCCTGCAGGATCTCGTTGACGACGACCGCGTACAGACAGACAAGATCGGCTCTGGGAACTGTGAGACGTCCCATTATAGCACATTATTCCATCTTCATCGCCTGATTTCCTGCGTAGTCTACTGGTCATTCCCCTCCCAAACTGGTGCCACGGTCCGTGAGGGAAATGACCACGTATATATGCGCTAGCTAACGACGGAACTTAACCGAATGCTCAGGTAGCAGCCAGGCTTGAAGACGTGAAGAAAGACATCCAGAAGTTGGAAGAACGCAGGAAAGACATATTGCAGCAGATGGAGGAAGCGCGCCATAAACGTCAGCCTAGTGTGCGTCCCTTTGTCAAACTCGCCGTTTTGACAGTATTGACGCCAGCCTCAGGACGAACGGACTAAAGCATTGACTCAGCTGCATCAGCTCCGCAACGAGAAAGAGAAGCTTGCAAGAGAAAAAGCGGATCTCATGGAATGTGATGCAGCACTGTTTGAGCAGAAGAAACGTGGGGCGATCCTTGCCAAAGAAGCGGCTGAGAGGTGGACAGGTGAGTCCATCACATTGTAGCGGACTGGAGAGGTTGTGTGATAGTGCCCTCAGAGAGCGCTTTGGCGGTGGTTCAATATCTGCAAAGTCAAGGCCAGGAAGCCAATATCATCCGCCATTACTTTGGCATGCCCGAGGGGTGGGAGGAGCTGGAGTAGACTTTCGGAGATCAAGATGAATCGGTCGGTGTAATGTTGCCGCATTGCACCGAGGCTGTAAAAGATCCCGTTGATGAAGCTAATTATGATGTCCCCAATTGGCATGTCCGTTTACCTTCCTTTACGAATACCTCACATGCTGGCAGTGTTTACGTGGAATGATGCACAACCGGTTTTCATATCATCTGACGGTCCGCCCGGACCGATGCTTCGAAGCAGCTTCCTCCATCACCTCTTTTTCTCATTGGCCAGGACTGTTCGGATTCGCACACGGACACGGGATGCAGGACTGGGGTATCTTTGGGGTATTGTCTTCGGTGAGTCTACCATGAATGATCGGTCCACAAGAAGCAAGGACCAGATTCTCGAGTACAAAGGTATAAGAAGTAGCAACATGCACTGCTCAGGCACATCGTGCCCTTTTGGTCGACTCCGAAAGAGACACAATGGTCTTGTTACTCCTGCCTCTTCTTCTCAATTTGCTGTCCCTTGCAGTGTCCGCTTCTGTCGTGAAGGTTCACAGGATGTGCCATGTTGTCCCTGTTGGGAAAGGCGGAGATGACGGTCCCAGTATCCTGTCTGCTTTCAACCAGTGTGGTCAGAACGGCAAGATCGTTCTGGACCAGTACTACAGTGTCAACACGGTGTTAAACACGACGGGGCTGAACAATGTCCACATCGAGTTGAGCGGTGTTCGTGAGTCGTCATTTCGTTTGGATGTGTATGCCGTTGACGCAGCTCTCCAGTCCAGGATACTCCGGACATCGCGTACTGGAGCCCGAACTCCATTTTCCTCACCTACCAGAACGCGTGAGTAATGTAATAGTAAACGTGTCTCGAAGGTCCCGGCTGATTTCGCAAAGGACTACTGCCTGGCTTCTGGGAGGGAACAACATTACTCTTGGACAACGCTATTACTGATCATTTCTTCGTCGCTTATGCTCCGTTTTCCCCAGTATGGCGGAGGAACAATCGACGGCAATGGCCAAGTCTGGTATGACGGGCTTACTACCGGTGGTTCAACCGGAGTAGCGGGTGGATCTTCCACAACTTTCGCTCGCCCAGTTCCTTTGACTGTATTCAATTCCAAGAATGTGCTCATCACGAATATCACGTACCTCAATTCGCCATTCTGGGTAAGTTTTGCCTGCTTCATTTCGGTTTTACGTCTCATAACGCGTATCTAGAATAATTTCGTCTACCAGTCTCAGTATGTGGAATACTGTGAGCCCATTTGAAACCTAATCTTTTCCTTTGGTAACTCAGCCCCGTTAGCATGGATCACCATGTCGAGCCATTCATACTCTAAGAACTTCGCCTCCAATACTGACGGATGGGACATCTATCGCTCGTGAGCCGGCGATTCTCCGTTCGTGTATGTCGTGCTGATTTGAGCATAGTGATCATATCACTATTCATGACTGTGAGATCAATAAGTTAGCTGCATACGTTTGTTCGGAATTCGGCTCTTGCTCAAACTCGACAGCGGTGATGACTGCGTCTCTTTCAAACCAAATACTACCAATGCATGGGTATACAACATGGTCTGCAACGGCAGTCATGGTATTTCGGTCGGCTCTTTGGGACAGTACGCTGGTGTAAGTCCCCTTTTCTTGAGCATTAGGCAACCGCTGCTGACACGCCCCAGGAAACCGATATTGTTGCAAATGTCCTTGTAAACAATATCACCATGTTAAACGCACAGAACGGAGCTCGTATTAAAGTTTTCGGGGGAAATCCCAGCCCAAACAGCATGGCAGGGGGTGGCACTGGTTATGTCAAGAGTATTCCTGTGCCTTGGCGTTTTGCGCTTTATCTGACTATTTCTTAGACATCACCTATTCTAACTTCTATGTGAACAACACCGACTTTCCTATCACTACTAAGTTAGTCAGATCCTGGATGGGATGCGGTTGCAGTTATCTTATGCTCTTAAGCCAATGTTACTCGACACCGGCGGCAACTTGCGAGGCTTACCCATCCAAGCTCACGATTTCAGATGTGCACTACATCAACGTGACGGGTATGTCCAGTGGTGCGGAAAACGCGACTGTGGTTACACTTGAATGCTCCGAGTAAGTGTGGCCCAGGATATGTGAATACACTGCCTCAACGGATGGCAGGCCTTGTACGGACTTCACAGCCACTGGAACTCATCTCGTCCCGCCGGCCAAGTTCGGATCCCCAGTCTATCTTTGTGCGAACATCACAAACACTGGTGCTGTACGTTGTGATGCTCTAGACTTCTGGTTTGAGGGACTGATACTTTCACAGCTCGACTTCTCTTGCACTGCTCCTTGAGAAGGACGACGGTGACGGTTTGGGATAGTCGGATTAACAATGATATATGACGTAATTTGAACGTTACGTGAAAAGGGTAAACGCGTATCACGAGTCGTAAGATACGACCGATTGGCTAGATGAACCTCATGACATCTCCGCCATCGTCTCGTTCTCCTCGGGAAGGGTTTCATGCGGTCCGTATGAATAAAACAGCTTGTCTACCCTTGCAGCAGCATACAGAGTGAGGACCAAGATTTCGAAGCCGTAAATGACGATATAGAACGTTGGTTTGCCATAATATCTAGAATGGCGATCAGTTGGGAGAATTGGGGGAAACGTGATCACTCACCCAGGGGCGTCTGTCACGGGGAAAGTTTGCAGGCTGGTAGCGACTCGGAAACACTTTCAACAGATGAGACTACATTTCCCAGAGCGTTGATATACCACACTTACCAATTCGGTCACAAGTAGCGCGGTAGCGAGAGCAATTACTGCCATTTTTTTGGTGGTCTTTCCTGTGCCAAACCGTCGCTGCAACTCGTACACCTCTTCCTTGGTTCTGTGGGGCGGAACGATGTATATCCAGAAGAACACAACAAAGGGCGAAAAGGTGAACGCCACGAAATACGCGAGTGCGACCTTCAGAATGATGTTGTCTGCCCGCATAGTACTGGGACTAGGGTTCTGCGATTGTAAGACGACGACGGTAATCACTAATATGCAAGATTAGCGCGCGGTCCCGAAGCGCAAAAGACCGTTGTGGACTCACTCATGGGAAGGAAACACAAGACAATTATGTAGGGAAGCTGTGTTATGAAAAACTTGAACGGCTGGCGGTATACCCAAGGGTGGTATTCACTCAGTGCCCTTGTTGCGAAGATGCGGTTGATAATCCACTACAGGGTAATTTTGTGAGAACAGCAATCTCAACTACATTGAGGCGTACGTACGACGAGAAGGACACCAGCCGCGAGGAATATTCCCGATGCGAGAGCAAGCTTTGGGTTGGTGGGATGGCATGCCCATGCAATCCGCAGAGACAGAGTAACGATTCGAGCCATGCAGAAAGCGAACAAAAGCACGCTCGGTCGGAAGTAGCGTTTTCTTCTTCGGTTGCGGATGTAGATAGTCAGGTGCGTGGCAGCTAAGGACGCATAGCATGCAATCAAGACTGAGCAGACGGGCACATCGACGGTCATTGTCGGTATGCCGCCAAATGTGGCGGGCATGTGTGCTGGGGAAGCCATTGTTACGTAGAAGACACGGAGCGGAGATGATGAACTGAATTCATCTCGAGAGCGCCTTTAATATCCTCCTGCCTTGAGCGACGGAGAGGGGAGCCGGGAGGAGCAGGAAAGTTGGGGTCGACCTCAGGGTGCGGGGGGCACCATCCGCATTGAAGGAGGACAGGGACCTTGGATTTGCTTAGTAAGGTGACCGATGTCAGCTGCCAGGAATGGCCAAGGTGGCCAATCAGAGACGGATCACGAGGCAGGAGCGCCCAAGAGCCGTTCCATGTCACACTGGGCACTTGTACTGGTCCAAAACGTAACCAAGACAAGGGCAGTCCCCACGTGATATAGGATGGATCCCAGCATCCACCCGATCCAAATCATGGCGATAAGGATACGATCATGTCACAGCTCCAAACCGAGTACGTTTTGAGGCAAGCAACTTTGGACTACCCCTTGAAGCTTTGAGCTCGAGGGGTAGGTATGGTAGACTTGAACATGACTACAATGGACCAAAAGGTTTGATTAGTGACTGACAATTGGGTTGCACCTACCACGTACTCACAACGATTGATCGTGAGCCCTTTGTTGGCAAGCAGGGTTAAGAATTGTGCATAAGGATATTGGGGTTGCAGTGGTGAAATGAGTCGATCGATGATGTGCTGTACAGGTTTGTAAGGGCCCGCAGAGGCTCTATTCATTTACCCGGTGACGTCGTTCGATACCCTCAGTTTATTATGTTGGGCCGCGTGAATCTCCGGCAACCTCAAAGGTTACAGCGTTGGCATACATATAACACCCACTTGCCTTCCTTCTCACCATTACTCTTCTTCACCTCAAATCTGTGACAATGCCCGCTGAACTTTCTCCTTGCTGCGTCTCCGGCCATCTCCATGAGGGCACTCCCACCGGTGTCATCGAGAAGATCACCGGTTTCGACGTCTACATCACCAAGCCAGACAGCGGGAGCAAGGCAAAGACGATCCTGTTCATCACCGACGTCTTCGGTTGGAACACCCCGGTGCGCACTATTTCTGTATCCCTCGCCACCTGCGATCTAAACAAACACCTTAGAACGCAAGGCTGCTCGCAGATGAGTATGCTAAGGCGGGATTCTATGTCTATGTCCCGGATTTCTTCAGGGGTACGCACCCTCCTGGATTGGTTAATACTTACACTGATGGCTGGTAGGCGACAACATCCCGCACGACATGCTCCAAACTATTGCTCCCCGCGAGCCTCATAACCGTAGCGCTGCCCAGGTCGCCTCTGACAACACCCAAACGACGGCGACATTCGGCCCATGGGTCACGAAGCATAACGAGGCGGAGATCAAGCCTCTGATCGACGAATTCCTCAAGTATTTGCGCGCAGACCCTCTGACCGGCAAGATCGGTGCTGTTGGGTTCTGCTGGGGCGGCAAGTACTCGCTTTTGTTGGCTGGTGAGGGCTCCGTTGAGTAAGCCAACTGTATGCTCCTCTCCGGCCTGGTTCTGACAAATCTTAGCGCTGCCGTCGCTAATCATCCATCTTTGACCACTCAAGAAGACTACGTGAGCATCAACAAACCGACTCAGATCAACGTCGGCACCAACGACATCGTGCGTAATCTCTTAACGCTGCCCCTGACCGCACTAACGCTCGAACTCAGTTCCTTACCAACGAAAGCGTTGAGCAAGCGAAGAAAGGGATGCTCGAACAGAAGGCAGATATTCCCTTTGAAATCAATGTATACCAGGATGCGGTTCATGGTTTCACCGTCCGTGGTGATATCTCTAACCTCAAGGAGAAGGAAAATAAGGAGGCGTCTGCGAACGCGACCATCAGGTGGTTTGGCAAGTACCTTGCCTGATTGGAGTTGTGACAGTAGAATTTGCATATGTGAATGTAGCAAATAAAGAATATCAAGGTGATCCATGATATGGATAAAGAGATGTAGCTGGTCCAGTCATGATGGGAGGTGGAGAAGCTGCCAGTCAGTGGTGGTGGCACCTTGTTCGATGACGCGTCGGCTGAGGGAATTTTGGCCCTCACCTCCGGACGCGTTGTGTGCGCTTGCCGCCCGTGCTTCTCCTTCCACGTCCCTCCTGTCGCATTTCTCCAGTCTACCACCATCATGGTCAGAGTCGTTTGTTTGGACTCTGTATGCATAATTTCACATTTATGCACAGATCGTTCGAGTTCGCTGCAAAGACGGTACTTTCAGGCTTGATCTTGACCCCCAAGCTGACGCTGCCAAATTGGGCAGTAAGGTAAGCATCGCCCTATATCTTTCATTCACTGGACGCTCATATCACAATAGATCGTTCATGAGGTGCCTAACGTTGATTCAGTGACAATCAAGATATCCAATCAGCCTAGGGGTGGTGAGACGCTATTGTCAACCTTGGTCGGGAGGACTATAGGGGCGCTGGGCTTGAAGTGCGCTGTTCTCTCTCGTTGATGACACATTCGGTGCTCACTATGGTACAAGACATGGGGACATGATTTTTGCTTCGTATGACTACCTGGGTGCTGCAACCACCAGCGCAGCACCCTCTGTTCCGAACAGTTCAGCGACTGCAGTTCCCTCTGTCGCCGCCCAGACCACTTCGTCCAATGCACCGGCAAAGAGGACATGGGAAGACGTTCAAGAGGACCCAGTCGACGACTTCTGGAGACAAAAGGACGGAAAGATACCTCGCGAGCGCGACGCGCAGTTTTGCAAGCACGGAACGAATGCAATGTGTGACTATTGCATGCCTTTAGAAGTGAGTTAGTTACTCGCTGGCGCAGCGTCATGTTGACTGTTATCAGCCCTGGGATGCAAAGTATCGTGCTGAGCATAGCATAAAGCACCTCTCGTATTGGGCTTACTTGCGGAGTAAGACGGTTGGCGTTGCACAGAGTGCGCCCGCTGGCTTGCCGCCGCTCGACAAACTTTCCTACCGCGTCAAAGTGCCTTGTCCCTCGGGGACTCATGCGCCTTGGCCTGGCGGTATCTGCAGCAAGTGTCAAACCTCTGCAATCACGCTGCAGCCTCAGTCCTTCCGCATGGTTGATCACGTGGAGTTCTCATCTTCAACCCTCATCGATAAGTTCTTGTCCGCATGGAGGAAGACTGGGCTGCAGCGATTCGGAATCCTCATCGGGCGGTACGAACCTTATCCAGAAGTCCCGATGGGTATCAAGGCTGTCGTTGAAGCTATACATGAGCCGCCACAGGAAGGAGAGGTGGATGGACTCACGCTCGGTCTTCCGTGGGAGGACGAAAGCAGAGTGAAGCAGCTCGCCGCTGATTGTAAAGGGCTGCAGATGGTTGGAGTTATCTTCACCGATCTCACTGCCGACGAAACGGATCGAACTAAGCTGATCTGCAAAAGGCATAAGGATTCCTTCTGGCTATCATCTCTCGAAACCAGTTTTGCAGCCACATTACAACTATCGCATCCAAATCCATCTCGTGCTGCACCATCTGGCCACTTTTCTTCCCGATTTGTTACGTGCGTGCTTTCTGGAACACCCAAAGGCGATATCGATGTGTCATGCTATCAAGCAAGTGAACAGGCTTGTGCCATGGTCGACGCGGACATCATTGAAGCAAGCGTCGAGCCCGGTATTGTGCGTGTCAAGGAAGAGTCGGCGTCAAGGTATATTCCCGACGTGTTCTTCCGCTACAAGAACGAGTACGGTCTAGATGTCCAGCAGACCGCCAAACCCTCCTTTCCCGTTGAGTATCTTCTCGTGAACGTGTGTGGCGTCCTTATCCTTCCATGTTCCCTACTGACGGTGTTATAAGATCACACATGGATTCCCAACAAACCCCAGCCCGGCATTCATTTCGACTGATTTCCCGATCGAGAACAGACCTGGACTCGAAGATCAGGATATGTCCAAAGTTGTTGACGAGCTCTTCAAGCGAGGTGCCAGTGCGATAACATCTCCGCGGGATGCCCGAACAAGTCCGGCCACATCTCAGCAGGTGATGACGTATTTGAGCGATTGGCACCTTCTGTCATTCTTAGGAACGGTCGGTGTTCTGTCTGCGGACGATGTGCGGATCATGGCAGATGCAGTGACTGCTCCAAACCTCGAATCCACAGATGGGATGGAGGCGATTGCCAAACGTGACGGGTGGCAGACACTCATGGCTATCGTTGGCACCCACAGTCCTGCCAGTGAGTAAGCTCCACTACAGTGTTAGAACTGGTTTGATGGATTGAACTAGTTCCCACACGCCCACCCCCACCGTCCGGGGATATTGGGATGGACGACGAGTTCGAGATACCGGAAGACTTCGATGTGCCCCTGGACACGGCAACTCATGGTGCCGTGTCTGGGACAAAGACATGCCCTCATTGCACTTTTGATAATCCCGCTGATGCGACCGATTGTATGATTTGCGGACTTCCCATGGATTAGAGGGGGGAGAACGTCATCACAATGTATGATACAACAACCTACGCACTAGAGTCGTAATTTCATCAAGGTGCATGTGGACTGACGTCTTAAGCAGAAGCACCGGAAATTGACGAGTGACAGCTACACAATGTCGCATGAATAAGACTGTCAGACGGGGCATTCACACGTTCCAGATATACTTCCATTCGGTGGCCCCATATGCCACCACGCTAACGCCCGGTATCTGGCTGTCCATTAAAGGGTCGCTCGACCACCTGCCTATCCCTTGCATTCACAGGCGACCTTGTATCTCGCATTTCCAGGAGAGGCGGCCAACTAACTTGTATTATTGCACTCTTGCCCTTTCCCTTCTCGTGTACAGCTCCCAACCACCCCATCAATCATGGTGTCCGTCAAAAGGCTTCTGTTAGGCCCAGAGGTCGCCTTCAACAATCACCTCGACGTCCATTCTGTTATCGCTCATTCGGAAAAACTTCTACCCATCGTCAACGCTGTCAGCCAGTACATTCATTCAAAGCACAAGCGCGGCCGCTCTCAAGAGGAGATCATCGACAAGTTGGAGAGGCTGGAGACGGTCTATCTCCATGTAACGCAGGTTCATGATGCGTTTCACATGGCACGTCAGGAGAACAACCTTCCTATATCTAAGGTTTTGACCGGTCGTGCGTTATCAGTCATGCTCACCGTGCAGCAGAGCTGATGCTCTCTTAGGCATACAACCCTACTATCGTGTTCCTTTGCGCTCTGCCAGTCCAACTCCGACATCTAACACCGAATCAACCTTGGCGCATTATGATACTCTTCCCTCCGGTATCTCGACCGCTGTACATTCTCAGGTCGATCTACTCCCTGCTGGGAACAGGCCCACCGTCGCTGCTGAGCTTCCTGGCCCCACGAACTCTGGTTCCTGGCGTAGGTTCATTCCGGGCGCTCGCCGCAACACGGTCAACGCGCAGTCTCCTCCCTCCCGTCGTCCAATCCCTTCCGCCATGCGGTCTCCCGCTGAGGTATCTCCAACATCAAGCGTCGTCACTGTCCGTGCTGCTGGTATTGAGGCTTCAGTCGTTCCTGAGACGGTTCACACGGATTCCCACTGAATCATCCCGTCTGCATTCATACAAGACAATGTCAGCTAGGCGAGAACCGGCAAACACTTTCTATAGCCGCATACCTCTATGTCTCACGTCTCCGTCCTCTGTACTGCTCTTCTGTACTTTGATGGTTGTTTATGCTGGAAATCCTCGACAATCCCTGGCCAACATAGTTGGGCCAGGTCTCTGTAGGCATTGTAATTCTTAACTATGGAAAGTCTAAGTAAACAGCTCCATTCCCCGCCCTGACTGGAGAAGACGAGCCCACCCGCTCGTCCAGCGCCAGCTTCCCATCCCCCTCCTCTTCTGCGTCGGGTTAGGGTTAGGGTTAGGGTTAGGGTTAGGGTTAGGGTTAGGGTTAGGGTTAGGGTTAGGGTTAGGGTTAGGGTTAGGGTTAGGGTTAGGGTTAGGGTTAGGGTTAGGGTTAGGGTTA